ACTTGCCTCTGCCTCTGAAGTATTGGAATTAAAGGCATTCGACACCCACTGCCTGGTTCAACTAGACATCTTATGCCACCAAATAAAACCTCCACTGCCACAAATGGGTCGCATTTTGTTGAGTCATTGGGTAAAGGAATCCCATGGATCATCTCGAGCAAACACCAAAGACTATTGCCAAGGCTATGGTTGCTCTTTACAACCTAATGGTAAGGCCTTCTTGCTGAAGACAGCTGCTTACGTCATTGAACCTGGAAAAGTCAAGCTAGTGTCCAACTAGGAGCTTCACTCCTCATCAGTAGCATTCATGGTGCTGAAAGGTACTTGGCACCATTGCACCAAAGCAGAAAGACAATCATCAATATTAACCATTTACAAACCCTGCAACCTACAATAGTGACTTGCTTGCAAGATACACTGCTGCAATTCTAGTACAATGTTATGGGAGTAATCAACTACTTTTTATTTTAATTGGATATGCCCTGGATAGTTTTATGTCAACTTGACATAAACTAGAGTCATCTGAAGGGAAGGAACTTTAATTGAGAAAGATGCCTCCATAAGATCCAGCTGATGATGGTGTACACCTTTAATCCCAGCACTCAGAAGAGGCAGGTGGATCGCTGAGTGTCTAAGGTCCACTTCATGAGAAGGAAGCCATACCTGACACTACTAAAGTGACTGAGAATCTGAGACTAGGGTATTGCAAGGTAACTCCTTCAGAGGATTCTTAAAGCCCATACAAAGTCTTTATTTACCAGCTGGTAGGTTACATGCGAAACTTGCCCAAATCATGTAGCCCCAAGTCTTGCTATTCTTGGCTTTTTAGTCACAAAACCCATATCCTGGTTGACACACTTCAATTAGCAAGAACAGTTAGCAATAAGCAGAACAACAGAAACCAAAAAACAAGGTCAGTACCTTTAGTGACTTCCCCAGAACTATGGACAATGATAGATTAGGTCTTTGATCTTGATTAGACGTGTTGGGTCATTTATAAGCTGGGCTCTTAGGTCAGAATGGTGCATTGGTGTCCCTAACATGGCATTAGTTGTGCTAAGGTCTGGGGGCCTGTTGCAAGGGAGAACTACTATTATTCTGCCAAAGAAACAGCAAGAAAATGACTCCTAATGACATACTGCTATATCCATAGATCAGTGCCTCACCCACCCCTTGTTAGAAAAGCTTCTTGAAGAAGATGAGAATTAACACAGAGACCCACAACTAGGCACTGTGCAGAGTCAGAGGCCTCAGAGCACTCAACCCTAAATGGGATGTCTTCAGCAAATCCATTCCCTCAAAGTTCAGGGAACCCCAGGGACCTTTGTATTTCAAAGATAGGACATTGCCTGACTCAGGCATTGCTAATCAACATCCATTAGAACCTTAAGCTCAATAAAGTCTATTGTCTTATTTTAGCTGCTTCTTTCTCCTCCTCCCCTGCCCCCTCCTCCTCCCCTCTCCGCCCCCCCCTTCTTCTGTAGTTCTGGGTTGAAACACTGGACTTCACACACAGTAGGAAAGTCCTCTGCTACTGAGCTATATCCACAGCCTGAAATTTTGTTTCCTTTTGAGACAAGGTTTTCTTATGCAGCCTTGGCTTAGTTACTTGTCCATTGTGATAAAACACCACTGAAGACAGCAGAAACAAGGGACAGAAAATAGATCTGTTATCTCAAGGTTACTTCTCTTTTCTCTCTTTCCTTTTTGTTTTCATTTTTTCTTTTGAGACAGATCTCTCTACATAGCCCTGTCTGGAACTGGAACTTACTATGTACACCAGGCTGGTCTCGAACACACTGAGATCTTCCTACCTCTGCCTCCTGAGTGCTGGGATTAAAGGCGTGCGCCACCATCATTTGACTCCTTTTGACTGTTAAAAATTGTTTGTTTCTGACAAGATTCCAGGTGTTGCTGAGCCGCTTCTTAAGGAACTATTAGGGAGTTACAATCTTTTCTGGGGGTTTTGTTTTGTTTTCCTTTGTTTGAGACAGGGTCTATCTATTTAGCCCTGGCTATCCTGGAACTCACTATATAGACCAGGATGGCCTCAGGCTCATAGACAGCCCTGCCTGTTTTTGCTTCTCCAGTGCTAGGATTAAAGGCACACCCTATCACACCCAGATTAGCCCTGGTTACTGCTTGTTACTTTAGTTCCCCTAGATTCACTCTGAAATTTCTGGTCTCTATCAGCCTTTGAAGATTATGCTTTTGGCCTCGACCAGCCACTCACAGTTAAGCACCTGCTGGTGCTGCTAATAGTGGAAACACATAAACACTGCTCAGCAGAGTAGGAAGGCTGTTGAATACTTTTAAAAACATTTATTGGCCATTTGTGCTTCTTTTTTTTGAGAACTGTCTGTTCAGTTCATCCACTTGTTTATTGACTGGCAAGTTTTATTCTTGTCTAAAATATAACTGGCCAAGATTTTCTTCCAGACTGTTAGTCTGTTTGCTCACTTTGCTGCTGTTTTTCTTGTTGTAAAAAAGCTCTTTGTTGTTGTTTTGTTTTTGGTTTTGTTTTGTTTTTTGAGACAGGGTTTCTCTGTGAAACAGTCCTGGCTGTCCTGGAACTCCCTCTGTAGAGCAGACTGTTCTTGAACTCACAGAGATCCACATGTCTCTGCCTCCCAAGTTCTGGGATTAAAGGTGTGGGCCACCACTAAAACTTGTATAGGAGCTTTAATGTATTTTATTTTACTTTATTTTTGCTTTTGTTTTTCAAGACAGGGTTTCTCTGTAGCTTTGGAAGTTGTCCTGGAACTAGCTCTTGTAGACCAGGCTGGTCTTGAACTCACAGAGATCCGCCTGCCTCTGCCTCCCGAGGGCTGGGATTAAAGGCGTGCACCACCAATGCCCGGTGTGAATGGCAGGCAGCAGAGGTGGGAAATCATACCGTGGATCCCCTCTTTCTTACTGAGTTCTCCATTGTCCCATTGGACTGTAGTCACAAAACACAGTTCAAAAATAAGAATTTCTTTCAAGGTCAAGAATTGCAAGATGGCAGGCCAGATGCAGTGGCTCAGGCACCTGAGAGGTGGAGGCAAGAGGAACAAAAATTCAAGGTCATCCTGGCTATACATTGAGTCTGAGGCTGCTCTGGGCAAATTAGATACAGCCTGTGTGTGTGTGTCTGGTGGGGGGCGTTCAAGGTGGTGACAGTAGGTCATTAAACTGAGGTCCTGTGTGTCGGTGTGTGGTTAGGGGCTGGCCCTGCATAGGAAATTCCTTTCATGTGAAAGGCCTCAAGTTCTTTTGATTGGAGGGCCTCTGAGGTGGGAAGAAGAGTCCTGCCAGGTTGTATTCTTTGGAAAAGATCCTAATCCCTCAGGGTTGAAATGGACATCTACCTACCCAGTCTGGAGTTGGGAATACTAAGGAGGTTGCTTGGCAGGAGGAAAGAGAGGTCAGTTCATTTCCAGGTTCCTCTAACTCTAGGGGAGCAGACCCCGGCATATTGCAGGTTAGTACACGCCCTTAGTCCACAGAAAAGCCAGAAGAGATAGGCCCTCACAGTCCTAAAATATCAGGGAGGACAGATGCCCAAGGGACTGTGAGTTTGTCTTGTCTTCTGCTTGTCAAAACTTGTCTTCTAGAGGGAATGAAGGACTTAACAACTCTCTGTATTTTATACTTGGTAGTGTTCTGAACAAGGAGACAGTAAACACAGGTCAGGAGATGATGTGATGGCTAATCTTGGTTACCAACTTAACTGCATCTGGAATCAACTAAAGCCCAAGCTGCTGGACACTCCTATAAGGAATTTTCTTGATCCTATTGAAAGTAGGAAGCTCCCCACTAAATCTGAGCCACACTTTCTGGGGGCAGCCTGGATAAAAGGACATGGAAGAATCTAGCAGTGATGGCGCATGTCTTTAATCCCAGCACTTGGGAGGCAGAGACAGGTGGATCTCTGTGAGTTTGAGGCCAGCCTGGTCTACAGACAGAGTTTCAGGACAGCCAGGACTATATAACAAAGAGATCCCGTCTCAAAAGAAAAAAAAAGTCCCACATTTGTACATACACACACATGTATGTATATATGTATGTAAGTTATATCAGTTCTGTTCCTTTCTACAGAACCCTGACTAATATAAGATCTACTGTTTAACTATTTAAGGAATCACACTGGATTGCTTACCTTTTAAAAATAACAATTTAAGCCGGGCATTGGTGGCGCACGCCTTTAATCCCAGCACTCGGGAGGCAGGGGCAGGTGGAGTTCTGTGAGTTCAAGGCCAGCCTGGTCTCCAGAGCGAGTTCCAGGATGGGCTCCAAAGCTACACAGAGAAACCCTGTCTCGAAAAAAAAAAATTCATCCTTTGAGAATTCATACATGAATATAATACATTTTGATAAAACCTATCTAGTGTTTACCCCATTATAACTTCTCCCGGATCCCCACATCTCCCTCCTGTCTTCACATTTTCTCTCTCGCTTAAGAAAAATTGTTTTTGTAGCCCACTTAGTCCAGTCACAGCTGCTTGCTGGAATGCTGACTGACCTCACTGGCTTGACCTTGTACAGGTGACCTCAGTCACTGTGAGTTTGTTGGGCATTGGCTGTGTCCAGTCCATGGCACTGTTTCCAGTCTCTGGACTGAGTGGCAGGTTCTCAGTCTCTCCAGAACGCAGGTAGCTTTTGTTATACTACCCAGTCCCTATTATGCAAGTCAACCTCGTAAGTCTCCTTTGTGAGCCATATTCATTTTGTTGGTTCTATTTCTTTAGGGAACCATAAATATTAGATCTAGGTTTTAATTATGTTTATTTGTTTGTTTTTATTGGTTTATTTTTGAGATAGGGTCTCATTATTTAGCTCTGGCTGTCCTGGAACTCACTCTGTAGACCAGGCTGGCCTCAAACTCACAGAGATCCACCTGCCTCTGCCTCCCGAGTGCTGGGGTTAAAGGCGTGCAGCATCACAACCAGCTAAATTAGTTTTTATTTTCAAATAATTTTAGGCATTCAAAAGAATTGAAAGAATAGTTTTGGTTATTCTCAGACATCTTTTTATTTTACTTCCTCTAGTGCTAGTATCTTACATGATCACTTTATAACCATAAAACTGAAGACAACAGCACTAACACAGTGTTACTAATTAAATATGGGTGTTTGGAAACTCATCAGTTTCTCTACTGTTAATCCAGTCTACAGTTAATCCAGTCAGTTAATCCAATCCAAATATTTCCTATACATAACATAACTGGGGTGTTGTGTTACATTCATTCCTGTCTCCTTAGTCTCCTCTAAACAGTGACAGTTTCTCAATCTTTTCTGGCTAGGCATCTGTGCAAAGACAACCCATCTGGATTTCTTTCCCTTTTTAAAGGCTTATTTTGTTATTTTTAATTATGTGTCAATGCGTAGGTCTGTGTGTAGGTATGTGCCTGAGTGTTCAAGTGTCCTTGAAAGACGGAGGCTTTTGATCTCCCTGGAAATGAAGTTACAGGTACTTGTGAGCACTTGACATGGATTCTGAGAGTCAAACTCAGGTCCTCTGTCGAGTACTGTACACTGTTAACCAGTGAGTCACCTCTCTAGACCAGTCTGTATTTCAAGAAGCCTGGAGTTCTGGATTTATTTTTATTTATTTATTTATTTATTTATTTATTTATTTATTAATTTATGTGGTCTTCTTGGTCCTGTCAGCAGCACACGACATCACTGTGACTTAGTGCTGGTGTGTTGAGTGACTGCAATTGTTTGATGAAGGTGGTATCTGCCAAGTTTTCCCATTATTAACTTAGTATTTTCCTGTTCTATTAGAAATACATCGTTAGATATAGCCTGTATCAGAAGAGAGAAGGCTCAGACTTCAAAAGAATATGGAAAAGTTTGTGGACAAGTGTTAAAACCATCACAATAGCGAGTAAACATTTAGGGAAGATTCTCTGAAGTTCTGTTATGGTCTTGCCTCTTGGTATCACTCTCTGATCTTCTCATTACCAGTGGGTTTGCTTGAACTAAAAATTTTAAAAATAATAATAAAAATTAAGAGAAAAATCAGGCTTCAGTCAAGCCTGTAGGGCATTAAAAAAAAAAAAGATGAAGTACAGATGGCCAATAAATATATGGGAAAGTGTTTACCATCATTAGCCATCAGAGAAATGCAAATTAAACCACACTGAGGTTTTATCTGATGATAGTTAGTACCATACTGATTAAGAAAGCAAATAGCACATGTTTTCTCTCATTAGTGGGTCCTAGATTTTTATACAGATACATAAAATTATACATGTACAGATGATAGGAAAGTCAAAGTGAGATTGTCCAGCAGAATGCTCTGGTCTCATGGGAAGGAGAAAGAATGGGAAAGGGGAAAAATTTTGAGGGATGGGTGGACATCTCAGAGTACATTATATGCTTATATGAAAATGGTCATATAGCTCAGGTTAATATAATAAAAACATTTTACAGGGAACCTGCCCTTCCTTATCTACAACAGATTAACTTATTTGTCCAACTCCAGTATACATTGGAAAGTAGTTTCAATTCCTAAGGGTGAAGTAGATAGTTTATATGGCAAGTTTGCCATCACACCAGCAGCAGCAGGGCTCCCATAGTTCCACACCCTTACCAGTTAAAATCACCTGCCCTACCCCAACTTGTTCCTCCTTTCGGCCTGCCTGAGTCACAAAATAATCTACACTTCTCCGGTGTTTGTGAAGGTGATTATTTCCGACATATCTCATTTATGCTCTATTGTAAGTGCTGTGCACCGTCCCTTTTCTAGCATCCTGGTTAGACAGTGTCACTAAACTTACTTCTGTTGGCCTGAGAGCTAACAGTGATCTTGTCTGAGGAGAACTCTTTTCTGAGCTTCCTAAACTTTTGCTTTTGTGCAGCCTGCTAGTGCCCTGTTCCTCTTGGCCTCCTTAGCCTAACCAAATGAGCAGAAGAGGATGCTGGGGCACTTAGGCATCTTCACTAGAGAATTCAGTGCTTAAAGACCCAGCAGGACAGGCCACCTCACAAAGCTTTCCAGCTAGGTAACTTGGTGCTCCGCCATCAGAAGGACACCAAGCACCAGGCCCCTGTTGGCAGTCCCCTCCTAAGTCAGTGACTAGCACATTCTCATAGTCATTAGAGTCTTCATCTGACTGCTCCTCTTCATGTGCTACCTCGCTGTCCTCACTCTGTGGAGATGGCTGAAATGCCATATAATACACGGAAGACAGGGCCCCCCAGACAGGCTCCCCATGGTCTGTATGGGAGGACGTCACTTCTTCCCGAGTCTGCAGCTGGCCTCCATTGGTATCTGCTGCCGCTGGGACATTTTCATAATCTCTGCAGCCCTGAAAAGCTTCCCCGGGCTGATTCTCTTGGATGTCGTCAAGATCCAAACCTGTCATATTGACATAGTCATTTGAAGTCTGAGATGACTCTTCTCCATCACTGAGTGATGCACCGCGCTCTCTTCCTGGAGTCCACAAACCAGTGTGGTTAGTGGCAGCCCCACAGCCTGCTCGCCCTCCTTCAGCAAGCTCCAGCTTCTGGGCACTGGGAAGACCGCAGTGATTTTCAGGAGTGCTTTTGGTAGAAGTTAGAGTCTCACTGGTCTCTTCTGCTGTGGGGATATTGACATAATCATTTGACTCCTCAGAAGAAATGCTGGAGTTGTTTCTGGAGGTTCTGACACTGATGTCGGAGGAGGCAAGGTGCCCACACATCTGGGGCACTGTGCCATTGTCATAGATGCCTACTGTGTACTCTACAGCATGAACAGAAGCTCTGTGTATCTGAAGGGGACCATCTGCTGGGGTGGCCTGCAAAGAAGAAGACAAAAATGACAGGATGGGAGCAGAAACAGGGACACAGCCACTCTTCCTCCCTGCATTGCTTGGCATTACAATCCCTTCATTCCCTCCTTTAGTTTAGAGCTGAGCTCCAAGTCAGGGACTCACACTGCAAGGCTTTGGGTGCCAGGTGTGCTGAGGGCATGAGTGAAGTGGACTAAGTACAAGAAAAGCATGCTGGGCTCAGTGGTAGAGTACTTGTGCAGCACATACAAGGACCTAGGTCCAATCCTTAATACCTCAAAAAGCATTAAGAAAAACAGTGGCTGAAATGAGATGTTAAAATCACAACAGGTTTTGGCTACGGTGGAAGGGGAGGAGTCAGTGGGGAGAGTGACACACACAGGAGAAAGGGCACACTGGAGGGGCAATGCTGGGCTGAAGATGGAGACTTAGATTCACCCTGAGGGTGCAAATCCCAACTTTGCCACTTTGTGCTGAGCGTCTTCCCTTGGCACCTTCATTTCCTAGTCTAAAAACTGAGAATTGCCACAATGTCTGTGTTATAAGGTGAGTGGTCAAAGAGTTGTTACTACATGCAATGTGTCCAGAACAGTGTCAGCATGTAGAAAACACTAAAAATGAAGGATACCAGTTTCTAGTATTCCAGAAATGTCAAGAAAAGCATGTGGATCTCTAATGTGAAGTCTTCCCTTCCCCTTCTTTTTTTTTTTTAAGACAAGGTTTTCCTTTGTTGCTCACTCTCATTTGGAATTTACCACATAGCCCAGGCTGGCCTTCAGCTTATAGGCAATTCTGCTTTAGTCTTCTGAGTGCTTTTGCAGGCATAAACCTCCATGCCAAGGTACTAGATTTATTTTATTTTTGGTTTTATCATTTTGAGACAGGGTCTCACTATGTAACTCTTTATGTCCTGGAATTCACTATGCAGACTAGGCTGGCCTCAAACTCACAGAGATCCACCTGCCTCTGGTTCCCAGGTACTAGGATTCAAGGTATGCACCACCACACCAGAAGCTACCAATTATTAAATGTTGGCAACTGATTCAAAATGTTTTTCGTTGTGGGACAGGGCCTCACAGTGTAGCCCTGGCTGTCCTTGAACTAACTCTATAGATTAGGCTGGCCTCGAACTCATGCTGCCTGCCTCTGCCTCCTGAGTGCAGAATTAAAGGCATGTGCCACCATCGCTCAACTCAAAATGTTTTTCTAGCACTACAGAATCTAAGCCAAACAGAGCCACAGGTTAAAGACAGATCGCCCCAGGTACCACTCAAGCTTTGGTAATGGGGTTTCATTTCCCCTGCCCTTTTTCAGATACTCCAGGAAGTCACGGGCCAATGAATAGGAGGAAGAGTAAGCGAAGGCCTTACTGTGACATGGCTTCCTGGGAACCTCAACTTCTGAACAACAACGGCTTCTCCATCTGTAACATCCCCACTGAGCCAGGAACCATCACCAATTCAGAGCAACTGACTTCTAGCAAACATACTGACCATGAAAGCCACCATCCTGATTGTAGTTTCCAGACCAAACCACCTATGGACTTCCTGAGGATCAACCTCAGACAAGCACATAGGTTATCGTTGGTAACACTCACACTGCTCTCGTAAGCTCAGTGGTTACTGTCTGCAGCAGTTAGAAAGAGTCTCCCAAAGTTCCCATGTTGGAGGCTTAGTTGCTATTCAATAATGTTATGACTGGGGCCTTAAAGGGGTGATTAAAGGGTGGGCCAGTGAGATGGCTCAGCCAGTAAAGGTACCTGCCATCAAACCGGATGACCGAAATTCAATCCCTGGGATCCATGTGATGGAAGAAAATAAGCGCCTGCCTCAAGTTGTCCTCTGACCTCTGCATGCAGGTGGTGGCTCGTGCACACCCTCACACACACACACACACACACAAAGCAAATGAGTAAGAAGTATTGTAATTTTTTAAAATATAATTTTAAAAAAGAGACAAATCACCTTGTCTATTTCAGAAGAAGACTAATTGTTAAAGGAATGGGATCCCGATAAATGGATTTTATCTTGTGCTACATGATGGCCTTGTTTCAAGCTATGACAACATGAAAGCCTCATCGGAGACATCCACTTGACCTCGACTTTCCAGCCTCTAGAACAGTGAGCCAAATACATTTCCACTCATTATCTACTACCCTGAATGGATCAGTACACTCTCATTGATCAAGTGCTTTCTACATCGGCCTCAGGAATGAATGACTTACGGAAAATCTCTGCTATTCGGGATAATTGAAATGGTCTGGCACAGGCCCTAGAAGTAATTCCCAAAGGTGAGTTTTTGGAGCTGGGAATATTACTCAGCAGTTAAGAGCACTTGCTGCTCTTTCAGAGGACCCAGGTTCAGTTCTCAGCACCCACATGGTGGTTCACAACTCTAACTCCAGTTCCAAGGGACCCAGTGATCCCTCCCTGAACAACAGGCACATACATGGTGCTCATACATTCATGAAGGCAAAACAATACAATAAAATAAAGTGTTAACTTTTTTGGAGATGGGTTTAAAGTGTGATTTGAACACTAACAACATGGTTGAAATAGCTATGGATTCCTGGAGTGACCACTCTGAATGGAGCAACAGTTGTTTGGAGAGACAAATTGTCATGTCTTTATTAAAATAATCGCTTTCCGTTCTAACATCATATACTTTAATGCATGTGCCTTTCTTAAAATCCTAAGTGCTGGCTCCTCTCCTCACCCCTCTCTTGGCATGCTATTCCTATGTAGTCTAGGTAGGCCTGGAACTCACAATGTACTCAGTCTAGCCTCTAACCTGTCCTTGACTTGCTGAGAGCTGCATTCAGGAATGTATTACCATATCAGCCATAAGTTGAATAGTATTTCTTTTCTTTGGTCAATAGGCAGTTCTTCAGGGTGTGTACCAAATGACACACATCTGCTGTAAAACCAGATCTGAGACCAAACCCCATCCCCCGTGGCCCCCTGTCGCTCTCCTTGGACTTCATCTTTTCATTTGGCTCTTACCTCATGTTCGGGGCTATCGGAATCTCTGGAAAGGAGGTTCTCAGTACTGAACCCATTGGACTGATGTCTTCCTGCAACAACAAAATGAATCCCAAAGATAGTGAGCTTCAGAGTGCTTTTGCCCCAATATCTCTGCTAGCAAGTCAATGGGGGTTGGGTAGTGCCTGTGAGAAACCAATCTCTGTGTCCTGTGCTTATGACAGTCAGAGTTACAGGATGATGCTCTGAGACCTGAATGCATTCTCAGGCATGCCTGTGGAGAACTCCCCATCCCCTGTTTACAATGCTGGTGTCACCGTCTTATTCATGGCTTCACCACCTATGACGCAATTGACTTTCCTCTGTTGCCTAAAACCAAGAGAACACAGACTCCAAGCCTGACTGACCCATGCTCTCTGTTTAGAATCCCCACTGGAGGTGCAGACTACCCAGTGCTGTTGTGCAGCCTGGATACCTGGAGAAAGTAGCTTCTGAGTGGTGAGAGGTGCATCTTTGCAGCATAAATTTAGAGTGTCAGGACTCCATAGATTAGGACAGCAGTTCACAATGTTCCTGATGCTGCAACCCTTTAATACAGTTCCTCATGCTGTGGTGAACCCCAACCTCAAAATTATCTTCACTGCTACTTTATAACTGTAATTTTGCTACTTTTATTACTCATAATGTAAATATCTGATATATAGGGTATCTGATATATGATTCCTGCGAAAGGATCGTTTGATCCCCAAAGGGATCATGATCCACGGGTTGGGAACTGGTAGATTAGGAGACACTTACCAAGTTCTGCCTGCTGCTGGGGCAAGAAGTCATAAATATTTTTGGCTCGTTGTCTGGGTGGAGGCAGAGTCAGTGATGGAGCTACTTGGAAGTAAGGAACTCTCCCTGAAAGGCAATGAGAGACTAGGTCAGAACGCAGAACATGGGGGCTCTCAGGATGACTATTCCCCAGCAGTATTCCCCACCCTCACCAGGTGTCATAAAAGATATATTTCTAATTCAGCCAAAGGACAAGAAATTCAGTGGACAGAGGCAGGAAAAGGAAACTGGGCACAAGAATGCCAAAGCTGTATGCTTTCTCAATGCCACTCAGATCTGCATGAGGGCCACAGCTTAGGACCAGTGTCAGGAAAGGATACAATATTCCAGGGAGATAGTGTCTCATGAGAAAATTCCCCAGGGTTTAAATGCCAGGCTGGAAGACTCATCTTATGGAATCTTAACTGGAGGCAAACATGGAACTCACGCTTCTTCCGTTTGTTCCAGTTCCACAAGATACAGGCAGCCACGATGACCAGGAAGATGGTGGGGAGTGCCACAAAGCCAGGGAAGATGCTGCTGTTCTGGCCTTTCTTTCTAGAAGGAAAACCAGGTGGTCATGCCCCAGTTGGCTGTAAGATTTGGGCTTGGGAATGTTGGAGAAGACATTTCTTTCAGGAGATAGAACCCAAATGATACCAGGTAGGCAAAGAGACAGATATGAAGAAATGAAGGGAAACCAACACTGGATCTTAGCTGATTTCCCCATGGTCAGATGCCCCTTTGTGGTTAAACATCCTTGAAGCTGAAATTAAGTTCTTCCTGCTATTGAAGGGACCAGCTCCCCATTTCGGCAGCCATAACAGCCGAACACATGCTTTTCTGATCTCGCCTTGGTCACTAGAGGTTAGGTGCTTGCCTCGTGGCAAGGAACCAATCAGAAGTTAGCTGGTGGTGCTATGCTTTACGGCTCTGGGTGTGCTTTACAGTCAAGCACACAACAATGACACGCAGAGCATAGCAACCACCCTGGGAGGGCCTATGGGCCATAACAACCAGTTGACCAATCAACACAGGGCAAACCCTCCAAGCCTGGAGGCACACCAATCCTGAGCCTGTGCGTACCCCTAGACACTCCCCTTTTGCTGCCCTATAAGATCTCTATGCAGCCGCCTCAAACTGTTTTTGCTAGCCATCCGCCATGATGGGTGGATGAAAGACCCGAGCTAACATGGGATTAGCTCGTTAAACAACAATAAAGCCTCATGCAGTTTGCATCAAGCTTTCGACTCAGCATGGGGATTGGGGTGGCCGAGGTCCTGGGCTGAGATTCTGGAGGCCTGAACTCTCCGAAGGTCTTACACTATATTAGAAACCAAGACTCCTATACACATGCACTCAAAAAACTGATGTTATTGTATTACTTTGCATTATGGTTTTGACATCTTCCAATATTTGTAGGGATCATGAGAAGAAATCCTCTAAAAGGGAGACCTGGCCCACCCTGATTTGGAAAGAGAAGGTCACCTTACTCTGTGACAAAGCCACCTACCTCATACATATTCATAAAAGTTTCTTTAAAATCAACAGTGCACTACTCATTGAGTTGTTTCTTGCCTTGTAGCACTTACTGTTAAAGCAATCTCTCTTTAGTGTTTGCTTTGCTTACCTTTTCTAAATAAACTTTAGTTTAAATTGTATGTCTGTTGCTTGTATTTGTTCCTTCAAGAAGAGCTCCCTTGTAATACAAGGATTTAGAATGGGAGCCGGACAAAGGATGTTGAGGTGAAGGGAATGAAATAGAGCAAGAGCAAGTCATATCTGGGGTCTGGAGAAATTGCTCAGTGGCTGGGAGTGTTGGCTGCTCTTTCAGGGGGTTGGGGTCCAGTTCCCTGCACACACTGGTGTCTCACAACCCTCTGTAACTCCAGTTCTGGGAGATTCAATGCCTCTGGCCTCTGAGCATACAGACCCACATGAGCACGCACACACACAACTATATATAATTAAAAATAACAAAAAAGAAAGGAAAGTCAGCTCTGAATAGCAACTTCATGGAGAGAGGAGCTTTACACATGGGAAAGGGAGCCATTCCTTTGAAGGCTTACCAGGTGCTAGGGGCTTGCATATGAAACTTATCATTTAATCTTCGCAAAGCCATCTGTGCCAAAGGATCCTGAGACCAGAAAGGAAAAGCAACACAGCCAAGATCTCATAGGGCAGAAGGCACAGAGCCAGAAATAAGAGTCTAGGTTGGCTGGGCACTGGTTGTGCAAGCCTTTAATCCCAGCAGAGGCCGAGGCAGAGGCAGGTGGATCTCTGTGAATTCGAGGCCAGACTGGTCTACAGAGCAAGTGCCAGGATAGACTCCAAAGCTACACAGCGAAACCCTGTCTTGGAAAACCAAAAAAGGAAAAAAAAAAAAAAAAAAAAAAAAGTCTAGGTTGGTTTAAGTCCAGAGATCATTCTTTTTCTACTCTTACACTATCTGCAAACTTCCAAAGCCAAATGCATCTGGCCAGGTTTTTCTGTCATTCCTGCTCCCGGGTTTCCTGGCTTTGCTGGGAGAGGATTACTCAACTCACTATCAGGGAGTGGCTCTGTAACAGAGTCCAGTTTACATGAACTTGAGTAACCCCCAGATGTGGGCTGGTCTCTAAGCAACACTAGCCTGTTGGGTGAAATTTAACCAACACTAGTTTTGAGCAGTCTTTCAATTCTCAGGCAGGGTGCAGCCACGGCTCAGCTCCGGTGTTGAAATGCATCCAAGGATTGCAACATCAGGCATCCACACCCACTCTAGCAGGAAGTAAGCAGTGGAAACCCAGCAGGAACAAGGAGCTGACCCCCACATATTAAATCTGGGCCATATCTGGAAAGATTTTTGTATTGCTGAGTTCTGGGTATATTGACCCAATTTTCTATTGGCCGTTTCTCTTAAGTTGTCCAATAGAGATCTCAAACCAAAACTGGGCTCCCATTCTGCCTCCATATACTGGCTTTTCCTCTAGACTTCCAACCATATAGCACTACAGTCTAAATGCTTGACACCACTCCTGCCTGACTGTTCTTTCATGCCCTATTTCCAGTTAATCAGCTTTGCCCTGGGCAAGGGCATCTGCTTCAAGTCCAGTCACCTCTATTTCTTTCATTGTCACCACAGTGGCATAAGCCAACATGAGTTCCAGGGGGACTTTTGCAGTGGTCACCTCCTTATTGGCTCGCCTGGCTTTCACTCTTGGCTTCAACATACCATGCTCACCTGTGAACTAGTATGATCACTGTAAAGAGTAAGTCATATCATGTCTCTCCTCCACTGAGAATCTTCCATGGCTTTACATCATACTGACAATGAATGTAATACTCAGTGAGATTATTTTTTCTTCATAATGTGATCTGGCATCTCCTGATTAACTTCGGGGCTCATTTCCAACCCCTTCAGCTCTGATGTGGACCACCATAATTTCTTGCTGTTCTGGCCCATATGAAGAATAGTTTTATCTCAGATCTACCTCTCCTTCTCCAGGTACTCAGAATGGCCAAGTTCCTCATTTCATTTAAGTCTCTTTTACAGTGTTGTCATCTCCTTAGAGAGATCTTCCCTGGTCATACTACATTTATTTGGTTATCTGTTTGCCATCAAACACTGCCACTGACTGTAATCTTCAAGAAGCCATGGACTTGTCTATTCACTCAGCATCTTAAACAGCACCTCTGACGTAGAATCTTAATGAATATTTGTCCAATGATATGTGAATGAAATAAATAACGAATGAACGCAGAAATAGTTTTGAGGATAATGCAGTCGCTGTGGGAAATGACTTATGGCAATTATCCCAAAAATTAAAAATAGAGCCACCATATGTTATGCCAACCCCACTGCTAGATCTCTGTTCAAAACAAATAAAAGCCGTGTTGCCTGCACCCTCCTGTTTATTAGAGCTGTTTGTACTGCCATGTTCATTGTAGCAAAATTCACAATAGCCAAATATGGAGTCAAGCTGAGCATCTACCATCAGACGAATGGATAGAGAGTGTGGAGTACATTTACAATGGGTACCACTCAGCTTTAAAAAGGGAAGACGTTCATGTCGTATGTGATAAGGTGGATGGACCTGGAGGACATAGTGTTAAGTGAACAAAGCTAGGAGCAGACAGATGCTGCATAATCTCATTTAGATGCGGAATCTAAAAAGACTGAACTCATAAAGCAGGAGTATGGTGGTCATCAGGGGTGGCTCGAGGGGTCCCTGAGATGTTGGTCAAAGGTTAGATGGAAGGAAGAAGTTCAACATGGTAATGTTGAAAATTACGTATTTTTGAACATTGCTTAAATTGTTATTTGACGTATCCTCTCATAAAAAGTATGTCACTAATACATGTGTTACTTAGCTCAACTTAGCCATCTACAATGTGTACATATTTCAAAACAACATGCTTAAATACAGTATAAAAATACAAATTTTACTTTGTAGTTACAAAGTTAAAAAGAAAAAGGAAATAACAACAAAACAAAAATCGATTTAAAAAAGCAATAGTTTTAAGAGTTAGTGAGCTGACTCAGTGGGTAAAGGTATCCACTGTCAAACCTGCCACTCTGAGTTTGATCCCTGAGGCCCACATGGTGAAAGACCCAATCCCTGCACCCTGACCTCTCCACCCTTCTACCCCCCCACAACAAAAATTTAAAAAAAAAAAAAGAAAAAAAAAGGAAATAGCTTTGGGAGGTTGCTTCAGGCTTCAACAATGATACGAACTCATGTCTTTTTAGCAGGCATCTTTTACCTGCAAGGGACATGCAGGATTTTCTCTGGTAATACTAATAAATTTTCCTAAAACTACAATAATTGAAAAGGTTTCACGCCCACTAGCATTTCTGAAGTCTCACCACCCAATAGACTTTTGTTTATCTGAGATTGAGAACTTCAGGGGTGAATTTACATCCATGATTAGTCTGTAAGATCTGATGTCTTATGACTTTTTTTTTTCAAGACAAGGTTTTTCTGTAGCTTTGGAACTTGTCCTGGAATTTGCTCTGTAGACCAGGCTGGCCTCGAACTCACACCTACCTCTGCCTCTCAAGTGCTTGCATTAAAGAAGTGTGCCACCACTGCCCAGCAGCTTTATGACTGCTATCTCTACATTTACAACTCATGACAAGGTTTTAGGATCTAAAATCTCATTGCTGGGGAACTAGGGCTCTTGTTTTTATCATAGTGGGACAAGAGATTAGAAAGATTGAAGTCAAGGCCTCTGAGAGGAAGGAAATCCAATCAGAAATTCAGCTGTCAGTCCTCCACCTCCATCTCCTTCCTTCCCTCCCAGCTCACAGTTTGCTGGTCCTGGTGGCCCAGGCCTGGATTGTAGGTGTGGCAGCACTACCAGGGACAGTGGCATTTACTTCCCCAGAGCACTCACCCTTCCAGGCTGCCAAGAGTCCCCTGCGAAGTGCTGGGCCCTGAGTTCCTCCTTCTTGTGACATCTGGTGGGGCTGGTGTGGTGTACATCCCTGGAACCTCTCAGGGGCTCTGCAGCATTTAAGTCTTCTCCGTGTCAATATTGACTAGCCAGTATTGTTGCCCTTTTCTTGACTCTTTCTAAGTTGCTGATTCGTAGGAAAAAAAGGCAAATTGGTATGTATTTTGCATACAACCACCTTTGTTTAAAAAAAAGGGAAAAAAGCAGATAATATAAGAATGACAGAAAATTCTCCAAATCTCCATATTTTCCCAAATGTATCTCTCTTTACTCTTGAAATTTCTTTTTCTTTCAATTTTTTTAAGTCTTTATTTTATATGCATTGGCACTTTGACTATGGGTGACAGATCACCTGGAACTGGAATTACAGTCAGTTGTGAGGTGCCATGTGAGTGCTGGGAATTGAACCTGGATCCTCTGGAAAAGCAGTCAATGATCTTAACCACTGAGCCATCTCTCCAACTGCTACTCTTGAAATTTCTTATTCATTTACTTAGATGGGGATGCATGTATCTCAAACTAACCTGGGGCTTGCTATATAGCTGTTCATGCAGGGTTTCATACCTCTCAGGGTAGCCTAGAACTCTTTATGTAGCCAAGATATATAGCTGAAGACGACTTTGAATTTCTGATCCTGCTGCCTCTGCTTCCTTAGTACTGGGACTTACAGGCATATGCTACACTCTGTATGAGCACTAGGGTTGGGACTCTGGGACTGTGCACACCGTAGGCAAGCAGTCTACTGTCAGAACACCCCCTGCCAGCCATCCTTCCTAGATTGTACTCACCAAAGGTCTCATATACAAAAAAAGGTTTTGGTTTTTTTTTTAATCTTTCTGAAGATTCTAATCTTCTGTTCTAGAACTTTCTCCAACTGACTCCCTTTTTTGGGCTGGTGTGATGGCTCTTCAGGTAGAGGTGGTGCTTACTGCCAGCCTGATGACCCAAATTTGCCCCCATCACCACTTTCATGGTGGAAGGAGAGAATCAGTTCCCATAAATTGTTCTCTGATCTCTCTCTCTCTCTCTCTCTCTCTCTCTCTCTCCCTCTCTCTCAAACACACACACACACACACACACACACACACACACACAATAAATAAATGTACTACTATACTAACAACAACAATAATAATAAAACCCAAACCTCCCTACCTTCACCTGAAATTCCAGGCTGAGTTGGTACAAGGTTCCAAAGCATCGAGTTTGGTACACTGGGGGTGACCACAATGCCCACTGGAGAAAGCCAGCTGTCTCTCATCCAGGTGTTGATGTTCCCAGTGTGAAGTGGCTGGGCTGGCTCTCTGGTTTCTGCCTGTTGGTGGAAACGTGAGGTACACAGGGGAAAAAAAATGCCCAGAGGTCCAGCAGATCTGTGAGAAACTCTTTCTTCCACCCCCCCAGAGCAGAGTGAAAATGCAAACTGCTCTGGCAGAATGGAAAGAGTCACTGACAGGAAGCACCTTCACCAGTGTGCTAATGAGGCACGGGGCACAGGAAATGCTCAGTTCTCCACAGGCAGCAGGAAACCCATCTTCAGCCCTGCTGTTCCCCACGGGCACTCTGGCATCTGGGGCACACGTGGTTAAAGAGGGTTAGGGAATCAGAGACAGGATTGATCGCTCTGGTTTTCAAAGTGTTATAAGCCTCCAGGTCAAAATTCGGGGGTTTAAAATACTTTGTTGTTTAGTTTTACTTATTTATTCTTAGTACACTTATTTAGTGTGTCTGCACACATACCATGGCACATGTGTGGAGGTCAGAGGACACTTGGGGGAGTCCTTCTCGCCTACCACGTGGGGCTCAGGAAATCAAACTCAGGTCTTCAGAGTTACAGGCAAGTGCCTGGATCAAATGAACCATCTTGCTGACTGTTTTTGTTTGGTTTTGAAGCAGATCTCACTTCATAGCCCAAGCTGGCTAAACCCATGGTACCCTCTTGTCTTAATGTCCCTGGTGGTGGGGTTCCAGGTGTAGGCTAGGCTCAGGGTTCAGAATGGTTCTTTTCTTTTTCTTCTCCTTTTTTTTTTTTTTTTTGATACAGGATTTTTCTGTGTAGTCTTGGCTGTCCTGGAACTCAGTAGACCAGATTGGCCTTGAACTCAGAGATTCATCGGACTCTATCTCCTGAGTGCTGGAATTAAAGGTGTGTGCTACTACTACCTGGCTTTTGTTGTTGTTGTTGTCCCTTCCTTTCCTTTCCCTTCCCTTCCGTTCCCTTTCCTTCCCTTCCCCTTCTTCCCCTCGTCTTCCCTTCCTCCATCCTTTCCTCCCATCCATCCATCCTTTCTTCTCTTCTATCTTTCTTTTTCTTTGAGACCATTCCCTGACCATTCTGTATTTCACTTATGTAGACCAGGTTGGCCTCAAACTCACAGAGATCCTCTAGCCTCTGCCTCCTAAGTGCTGGGATTAAAAAAGTGTACCACCATGCCTGGTTCTTAGCAGGTCTAAATAGCACTAGAAGTAGTTGTTTAGAGAGAAGTGCGGATCTGGCACCTGCTTGTGGTTCCGTGGGTGGACAGGCCTTATAAATAGATTCTCAGTAGGTGATAGTACCAGAAGCAGTGTTTCACACTTTGTGTACCTCTGTTCCGGTGTCATGGTGGGAATGGAACTGAGCCTGGGTTGCAGGACCTCTGGAGGCTGTTTCTTTGTTGGGACTCGGGGCTGCTGGCAAGGGGGCATCTGTTGCTGGCTTGCCTCTTCTGTAGTTCAATATCAATCCTGGGTAGCCTCTGATTTCAGGTGCCAGTGGTTCCTCCGTAGCGCTGACCTGAAGGTTCCAATCTTAGGAGAATGCTCTGAGTTTGTTTCTAACTCCCCTTCCTTTTTGCTCCACGTATGTTCAGAAGAGTGAATAGAGCATGCAGAGAGCCTCTCAACTGCACTTTCCAAACCAGTTGGGGCGGCAGGAAGATGAAAGGGATGACCATCAGTGCCTTTGTCACCAGGCCTCTCCCTGACCTCTTTCCAGTGGACATTGGAGTCCTTGGCTTCCAGAGCCCAGACAAGCTCTGCCTGTTCTGGCTCTCCCAGGGCTCTAGGATGCTGCAGACTAGTCCTGTAGTCTTCATGAAACCCCACCATGCCAGGCTCTCACCACCTTCCCTCTGGGGAGCCTGCTTATCTGGAAACAGATGGTTTGGTGGCAGTTGGCTCCAGAGCTGGAACCTAAGTCTCTGCCTACATTTCTTTTAGGTCTGAATGAAAACTAGGATTCCTCACTAGATCCCTTGCATTAGAAGACTGGTGGTCAGGCTGCCCTTGTGAGTCATTGTAAGCTATGGCACATGCTGTGTGAGCTGGGACCTTGACTGGAGCCTCACAGGAAGGCAGGGGGAGCCGACCTCAGAACCCTGAACTAAAAAAGCGTTTCCCTCTGTGTGTAATCATCTCTTTTGTTTACCCAGACTGCTGCAGCCAGACCAGCATTCCCTCCTGGTGTCCCATGCTGCTACCATGCCTGAGGGAAACAACCTCAGAGGGATTCTCTTCTCCGGCTGCTAGCCCCACATCCCTCTACTATCCTGTTCCCTGTCCTTCCACAAGTCTAACCTGGCTAATAAACAAATTAAGATAAGAATACTTTCTCAGAATAGGGGGAGAAAACTACTTGTTTCTGGGAAATGAGGTGGTGCACGCTTTGAGCCGGATTCTTTTAGTGTTCCTTGAAACCCCTCTGTGACATGACCATAAACTGTTGGGACTGGTTTTATTTTTGCTTTTTTTTTTTTTTTTTTTTTTTTGGGGGTCAAGTGGCCCAAGTTGGTCTTGAACTACCTCTGCCTCCAAGTGCTGGAATTAAAGGCATTCATGTACCACCACTGCCCGGCTTGAGCAGACTCTTGATGAAGTTGGGGAGTTGAGTGCTATGTCATTAAAGCCTTTAATGCCAGAATCTTTTCTGAAGTCCTCCAGGAAGACACAAGTTCTAATTAAACATCAACTGGGTTCAGATTCTAACCACCCAGAGGGTCCTGGCAGCTCATCTTCTCTTTCTATACTATTTCCTTAGATGTAACTGGCAACAGGAAAAGTTCTTACACAACATTGCTGTGAAAATTAGTTTGACCACTAATGAAAACTGTCTGGCTCAGTACTTGACACACACAGGAGCTCATTAAACAGAGCCTGCTCTGCTATTATAGTGACATTGATCTCGACCTCTTATATTTAATGAATTGCCCCCATTGCCCTCCACGCTCAATGTTACTTTACTCTTTAAACTCGGGTCATTCCTGTAATCTCACTTCTTGGGAGGCTGAAGCAGTAGGATTGAAAGTTTGAGGCCATACTGGGTTCTAATGTAAAAAAAAAAAAAACACAATTCCCCCATCCCATATTTTTGCGGCATCACTCCTTAGGGGACGCACTCTTGGTCCTCCCTTGGCATGGTGGCCGGTCTGGACGGTACTCCCTTTTGGGTGCATGTGTTACACACAGACCCTAGTCAACCTCACTTTGTACAATGGGTGCCCAGGTATCTTCATTTTATCGGCATTTTCTTTTATTTTGTAAAATTCCAGTACAGTACAGTCCTATCTGAAGCTCTGTACTGTTGGTCCTTTCTGGTTTGTAGGCCTTGGGGAAATTGTGACTTTCTTCTCTTAACTCTCACTGCTCAGATTGTCACAACCATCAAATATTGTTTTTAGAAAAAAAAAAAAAGGATAACTATGTTTTTTGTTCTGCTTTGTTTTAAATAAAAGGAAAATATGGCCCAAGAATTACCACCTCTGTGAGCTTTCCCTCTAGGGATCTGGGGCATTCCTCTGTGTCTGCCTCCACAGCTCTGTGCAGGACATGGTCTTGCTCATGTAGTGGGGGCTCCTTCCTGCCTTTGATATGTGTCTGTCTCTCTGAGTGGCCTCTGAGGCCCCTGGGGCAAGAAAGTGGAATTCTGTTTAAGAGCACAGTGTTGCCTCCCAGAGCTAACTGGGTCTCTCACTGGTTTTCTTTAGTGTTTCTTGCTACTGAGTTTGTGATGCACAGTGTGATGGGTGAGATCCTGGGACTGCTCGGTGGCTTTTCATTCTTCCTGCTGGGCACTCTTACCAAGGGATGTCCTCACAGGAAGGAAGCCTAATCTCTTGTGCCTGGTCTTTGCTCTGCAAAGGTGTTAACAGTGGCTCTGATATTTCTGTGTGTGTGTGTGTGGGGGGGGGGGGTCCAAATTGCTTGTGTGAAAGAATGAAAAACAACCCAAACCAGACTTCCTTTTTTGGAAGTTTTGGGGCTGGGAAGATCTTTGATGACAAGAACAGGTCTATGGAAGCGTCCCTTCCCCCTTCGTTGTTTGATCCCTGAGGCCTTTCCAGTACAGACAGGTCTGAAACAGAACAAAGGCAGCAAACACCTTCCTTTTGAGCTAAAGGTGTGAGAAAACTGGTACAGCTCCCTCCCTTCTCTGCTCCCCGCCTCCACTCCACCCAACACCTCGGAGCAGTTTGCGGAACTTTCAGAAGGCTAGGATGGGGGCGGTCCCTGCACACTCAGGGCCCTGATGGGGGAGGTGATTGGTATTGCGCACAGATAAGAAAGTTCTAAGGACAGACAAGGCCTCTGCCTTCTTGATTCTTCTGGGATTTCCTATCTAGCAGCCTCTACAGTGTCCCTAGAGACCTCCCAGCCTGAGAGCCACAGATGAGGTGTGCCCTGAGGAGGGAGGCACTGCTAAGAACAACCCAATTTTCCTTGCCCCCTCCCCAAGTTGCAAGTGGCCAGAGAACCGCCTCTAAGAGGACAAATGGACAACTGCTGACCCCTGGGCCCCGACAGGAAAGGGTGGCACCCAGCACAGGAAACCATGGCAGTCATAGTAGGAATCAGATGGTTGTAGCAAGTCTCAGGGGAGGTGAGTGAGACACAACACCTGCTTGTGGTCCAGATACTGCATGTGTCAGTGAGAGCAGAGCCAGAAGATGGGAGGTGTAAGGCAGAGTTGTTTCCTTTCTCTTTTTTTCAAGACAGGGCTCCTTTGTGTACCCTTGGCTGTCCTAGAACTTGCTCTGTAGACCAGGCTGGCCTCAAACTCACAGAGATCTGCCTGCCCCTGCCTCCCAAATGCTGGGACTAAAGGTGTGTGCTAGCAAGGCCTGGCTAGGCTGTTTTCCTTGTGCCTCTGATGAGTAGAAAAACTCCTGGTAATAACTGAAGGGACCAGTATTGGCTCAAGACCCCCAAGACCAAATTCTTAGCACAAAGGAGATTTATTTGTCCCAGGGGGACAAAAAGGCAGGCAATAAGGGGCAAAGACAGGAGATAGAGGACAAAGAAGGGGAAAGGAACAAGGGAGAGGGGGGAAGGGATCTTGGGTGGGGAGAAGGATGACAACTACAACAAAGGACTGTCTCTGGATGGAGAGACAGATGTGGCCCACAGGCGAATGGTGGTTTATTAACGTAAAAGGGGAAACCTCCTGTTAGGACTAATTGTTTAATTTTAATTGGACATGTTAATTAGGTGAGCCAAAGGGGCCTTTTGATTGCTGGACTTTGGTAGTCAGACTCAGGAGGAGGAAGTGGCCAAATAAGGCTATAGACCTTGTGGCTAGCTTTAAGGATGTAATCTAATGTTTTGATTTGTTTTTGTTTTTTTAACAAGGCAGAGGGAATGGAGAAGAGCAAAGTGTGCCAGAGCTATGTTGCCATGTTCGGCCCAGCTAGTGTCCCTTCAATAATCATTGCGTCATTTCATTGAT